CTCTTCCAAGCTCTTTAAATGTATTAAATAGTTCCAGTCTCATGTTAACTCTCTGAGGCAAAGTACTATTATTACTTTCACTTTACAGATGTGGCAATGGAGGCACAGAGGTCAATTAACTCTTGCCTAAGGTCACACATCTAGTAAGTGGTACAGCTACAATTTAAACCCAGGCAGTCTGGCTGTTGAAGCCTATACAAAGAACCACTCATTTCCTGCCTTCCTACTCCCCATGGGGCAGGTATATACAGGCTCATCAAGAGATGAAGATGGTGGGATGGTATATAGCAGGCCCAGGGGTGGACAGCCAGTGTGCTTGTGCCAGGAAGTCCAGGAGTGGGAGCAGAGAAAGTAAATGCGGAGCGAGGAGGTGAGACTTAGGGTGAGGCACAGCAAAGATGGAGGCTGAAGCATTCAAAAGTGCTAGAAGAGTTTGCTGGGCAGACATAGAGTGTGCAAAGGTCCTGAGGCAGGAAAGAGCTGAGCTCATTGGCGGGAGACACGTCAGAGTATAGTGGGGAGAGGGCATGTAACTGTACACAAATGGTTCACAATAGCATGTCACTGGCGCACAGACTCCTAATGCAGCTCGGCAGGGTGGTGGTCCTCAGTGTGTGATCCAAGAAGCCCTGCATCAGCATGCTCTTGGGTCCTTATTCAGAATGTGGACTCCTGTGCCCCATCTCTAGGAGCTCTGGTGGTGCCATGCCTAAAGCATTTGACTGCTTACCAGAAGGTTGGCAGTTCAAACCCACCAGCCTCTCTTATGGAAGGAAGATGGGACAATCTACTTCCGTAAAGATTTACCGCCTCGGAAACCCAAAAGGGGTTGGTCGCTTTGAGTCAGAACCACCTTGGTGGCAGCGAGTTTGGTTTTTGGTTTTGGTTTTGGTTTGTGCCCCATCTCAGGCTTGAATCAGAATTTCTGGGGTTGGAGCTTGGTAACCTGTTTTCTAACAGCCCTCCCCGGTGATTCTACTGTACACTCAGATCTGAGACACACCAGTGCAGGGTTTTGTGGGCTCTGGGCAAGTTTCGAGTTTATTGTAAACTCCCTGGGAAATCACTGAAGGGTTTTCAACAGGGAGGTGAGGAGAGTGATGTAATGAAATCATGTGAAGGAGATGGGTATTATGCTGTTTTGTAGGTGAGGAAACTTAGCAGTTAGCAAGGTCACCCACAGCTAGGAAGTGGCAGTCTAGATTGAAATCTAGGTTTCTATGAGATAAAACACATGAGGCAAAATCTAACTGGCTAATCTAGCTTAAGGGTATAGGGTGTACCTTAGATCCATCTTCTTGCATGCTTGAAAAATTTCTTAATAAAAAATTGGAAAAAGTAACCAGCACTAAACCCAAAGCTTAAGGTTGTTTTAACACTAACCTAACAATGAGGAGATTGGATTAGATCATCACTAAGGTCCTCTCCCTAACATTTCAGGATTCCACTGTTGCAATGTGCGGCTTAGATTACTAAGCTATACCAACAGCCGGATCTACGACTTGTCCTGCTATCAGAAAGGCCCAAATGGTTACCTCCAGTGGAAGCCCTGCAGGTATGCAGTTTCTCCTCCAACCTCTAGAAAGGACGGCCCCCATGGCTGCTTTGCCAAATTGCAAGCTGCTGGGTAGAAACTGGGTGTCAGCTTTATCCAGTGGGAGGAAAGACACTCTCAAAAGGAAAAACCTTCTTGGGCCAAGGCTTTGGGTGGGGCTAGAAAAACTTCATGACAACACTGAGTCAGCACATTCGTCAGGGTCAAGCTCACAGTCAGAGGCAACTAAAGAGGGCCCTAGCTAAAAAGAAACGTCCAGCTGAGGCCTCTTCAGTCTCAACGGGAACAGAATCTGGTTTCACACGTTGTGGAGATGGGCAGGGCAACAGTGAAGCGTTTCCTCTTGAAGTGCTCAATCTGCGATTTCATCATCCCCAGAGTAATACAAGTTCAAATACGGCTTTCAAAAGTTGTCAAATGGATTATGTGAAAACAGGCTCTTTGGGGGATATGTCTGAACTACTGAGGTTATGTTAGCAAGGACAACTGGTTTCTCCCAAAATGTGTACGTGGGGGCTTGTCAGAATCTTGGCCAGAAGAATCCTAGCTCCAACCAGTGTGACATTCACGTGCATTAAGAATAAACATCCTTTCCTCTAACAGGGGACCTCTGGTGGCATAGTGCCTAAGGCATTTGACTGCTAACCACAACAGGATCAGTTTCTTTTCTGAATCCTTAGGATTAAAATAAGGGTACCGGGCTAGCCGGGCTAGCCTCGGAAAGTATGTGGTTTCTTTATTAGCCTCTGAACATGCCTGGCTTCTTCTTATCTGTAAAAACCATCCCACTGCCATCGAGTGGATTACGACTCACAGCAACCCTAAATGACAGAGCATAACCGCCCCACAGGGTTTCCAAGGCTGCAAACCTTTACGGAAGCAGACTGCCCCATCCTTCTCCCACAGAGCAGCTGGTGAGTTTGAATTGCTGACCTTTCAGTTAGCAGTCAAGAGCTTAACCCCCGCCTCACCAGGGCTCCTCTTCTCATCTCTACTGGCAAATATACTGAAAATTCTTGCAAATGATATTTCCTTATAATGGGCCAGAAATGATAGTGGCTGATGGGACGGCAGCAATGAATGGTAAGTGGGCCCCAGGACATAAGCCTCCCTCCTCGGTTCTTCCTCACCAAGACCAGTTTTCCACACAACATATATTTATTCAGAAAAAAATCTGCAATAAATTATAATAAAAAAAAAGATGACACGAAATACATAATCCCACTAGCAGCTTTGCTTAGTGACTAAGACATTTGGGGAAAATATAACAAACAATTACAGAGTAAGAATCAGAAAACAGTGGAAGGGAGACTAATGGGACTTCACCACTAGGATCTGAACCATCTCTTCCCTAAAATCAATCAAAGCAGAGTCCTTCTAGACCAGCTGGATTGGAAATCTTATGTTAGAGGAGCTATGGAACAGTCCGTTCGAGGTACTTAGGAATTAGAGGTTGGGGTCCTGGAATAGGCACAGTAGGGAAGCAGACTCCTTATGTCTATTTCTCGTCTCCCCTACCTAGAGATTGTCTAAAATCCTCAACCCTGTAGACATCCCATGACCAGAGCCAGAAAGAAGGTGGTGGCCGTGAAGCAAGTTAGTGCATTTACTGTACAAAGGAGGAGGACAGCTGCACGTATGCTGCACACAGCCCCCACCAGCCACACCTCCGGTCATTCAAAGACCCCAGGTTGGCAGTGCACTAGCAAACATGCCTAGGAGAGGCATTTCCCTGTCTTTGTGTCACTACCTTGACCCAGCACCTAGTCTGACTCTCCTATGATCACTTTCTAGCCTAGTTGAAAGGACAGAACTCTTTGATCTCAGTCTTCCATTAATGATAAAGATTCCTATTTCCCTAACTTCCAATCAGGAAAGGGTTTCACTAGTATATTACATGATACGTACCTTTTCTTTTCCCAAAGAGCCCAACTTTTGAGAGATGGGAGAACTGGAGGGCCATGCAGTAGTGGTATTCCCCATGCCCCTCTCCTTAGGCATACTAGAAGAGTCACTGAGTCGATGCCTGAGGCCATGCCCAGAGCCTGGATGTTACGGTCCTCAGATGTAACATTAACAGGCAAGACTGAGTTGACTCAGAGAGGTTGAAGTGAAAGAAATTCAGGAGGAAGCTGATCGTATCAGGCAGTTTTGCAGAGTCCTTGGCTGGTGGCTTGTTTGCCAACCAATATTTTTTTGTCTGTTTGTTTGTTTGTTTGTTTTTTGGGAAAGGCTGCACCCCCAAGCTTGAATAAATGAAAAGCTCAGAGGGTTGTCTCAAGTGGGAGAGCTAAGGTGCTTGGTTGGTCCTATTGCCCATAGTCTCTTTACACAGCACTGGACAAGGTGACTGTGGGAGCCGAGGGGAGTCTGTAAACCCTCTACTTACAGGAGCTGGCTGGAGAGTGAGTCTGCTGAGGGAGGGGCTCCATCTGCCCCTTGGTGTTCATGAGACCCTGCCAAGGCAAGAAGCCGTACCTCTAGGGAGGCCAGCGTGAGGTACACAGGCTCCCTCGTTCACTATGGTGCAAGTGTTGCTCTGGAGGTGGTTTTCTAAGTGGGGTGGGTTCCAGGGACACCCAGGATTTGTCCATACCTATCATCTGAAGAATTAACAGGAAAGTGGTAGGAGGAAGCAGGACCTGTCCAATGTGAATACCATCACTCTTGAAATACTCAAAATGCTTCCATTCTGATTGTGATTCTCTCCCAGCAGTGGGATACTATCTTCAATAGTCCCTAAAGTTATGCTACTGAATGTGATCCGAGACAAGAGACTAGGGTCCAACCCAATACAGACCAACAAAAAGGCCAATGTTACAGAGACATGAAGATGTCATTGTAGTGGAAATGCAGAAACACATGTTAACAACCACACGTACACAGTGAACTCACTGTTGAAGACACCCAAGGAGTCACGAGTAACCCAGACTTCTTTCAAGGTGACAGTACCAGCGGAGTACAGAGGAGATAAAGGGAGGGGGTGGGCTAAAAGTGCTTTAGATGAAGGATTACAGACAAGTCTGAGCTACAGCAAGTAGTGCTTTTAAGCCTAGAGTGGGAACGTCTCAGAATCTAGGCCTAGGGTGCTAAGGATGATCGTGATAACTGGGTAGGAGAGCAACAAACACATCCCTAGGTAAGGAGTGTAAATACAGATCTCTTTGCGTTATAAGGAAAAAACACAAAAACACCAAAATACAGTAACTTTGGCTTGGCAATATAAGTCTAAAAGTATTTTGCTGTGTAGGATACGGTAAAGGGGTAGAGGAGGGATTAGGAGACTCTCTTCCTTTTGCATCATAAACAAAACCTTTTCATGCCAAGAGCCTTGAAACTCTGTAGTACACCCTTTGTGTGGTATGACTTTTCAAACCGTTCGGAAACACCTGGAGCCCAAGCTCTTCCACCTCTGGAATCTCAGAGAAGTGTCAGAGGAAGAAAATTAGTCTTCATCGTTCCCAAGCAAGAAAACCAGAAGGAACTGGATTGCACGCTGGCGGTCACTCGGAGTCTGTCTTGCCATAAGGTTCGGTGGAGGCCGGAGGAGAAGACTAGTGAAGAGAGTAGCTAGAGGGAGGAAGAGACAGGGCAGAAACTCTTTGTCAGACATAACCTCAGCACAACTTCAGAGCTGGGGACTGAGAAGACAGGGGACAAGGACAGTAGGAGGGAAGTGACTGCCATGTGCTATACATTAAGTGGAGTTCCTGGGTGGTACAAATGGTTACCATGCTTGGCTGCTAACCAAACGGTTGGAGTCCACCCAGAGGTACCTTGGAAGAAAGGCCTGGCAATCTACGCCTGAAAAATCAGCCACTTGACACTCCTATGGAGCGGCGTCCTACCGTGACACACACGAGGACGCCGTGGGTTAGTGTGGACGCGACAGCAACCGGTGCACCTCATGGAGAGTAGACACT